CACAGAAATGAAAACAGATAAAACCAAACCAAGGAACATAATTCACTATTGAGATGCACATAGTTATACGAAAAAGAACACAAAAGAGACTGTATTTGCAGCTGTATTTGCAGAACCCAGAGGAAGGAAGTTCTGCATGCTACCTACTCAACGAGTCAGCTACAAGTGGCTGCTGCCCTGTTATGGGATGAGAACATTTCATAACAGTGGCGTAGGAATGGAGTTTGTCAACAAAGCAGTCTTTATCTAAAAGCTTTCTGCAACACATCTTTGTCACTCTATCACTGAAAAAAAGTACTTGAAGGAAATTAAGCTGTAAGGTGCCTGACATAAAAATTGTGACAGTGCTTGCCTGAAAGGAGACAGTATTTGCAGGTAAACAAGAGATGGAAACATTGTTCYTGAGTAGCAAATACAAAGTTCCTGCATAAGAAATACAGCGTAGTGTATATACCAGTAGCAGAAATAAAGATTTGAACTTTTAGGCAAAGCTGGAAAGAAGTAACATGTACCTGGCTACCTCTTCAAATGAAATATGAAATTGGTGTTCACTCCTTACTAAATATATGTGGTAACGTTATAAAKAAGACACATTATATTCTGCATGACAGGGAAAGGGAAATGCCTTTTTTTTTCCTTCTGTGGCCACATAAAATCCCCAAACTCTACCAATTTTTTATATATTTGACAAGTTCACCATGGCAGTTACAAATACAAATAATATTAGAGTACTTGACTCTAATTTTCAAGCCACTGTCACACATGGGCTTGAAAGAGCTTCTAAATGACAGTAATTACACCAATGTCAAGTTTCTGCTTTTCTGAAACATCAAGTTAATTATGTTTGTTAAGATGTGGTTACATGCAGCATAGCAATGCATGGTATAATATATAACTACAATGAGAAACATGCATATGCATTATAAATAAGCATACCAATAAGGGGCAAAAGCAATACAATAATCAGAGAAAAATGGCTGTACTACCAACCATAAATTTTCAGAGAAAGCAGATACTGACAGACATTAAGTAAGAAAAGGTAGCTGTACATGGCGAAAGAAAAGGAGTTTGGTTATCTCCCACATATTTATGATTTTATTAACTCCATCATTGGTCCTCTAAACAACCTCCCCCAAACAGCAACAGCCATTTGAGCCATTGAATCCTGGCTGTCTGCTTAAGCCTAGGCAATAAATCCAGTTATACAAATTAACTWAGTCAAACCAAGGTATGAAATAGGAATCTGAGGAAAAAATATTTGCCTGGCGTATTTTTCCTATAGATCCTATTTCCTTCCTTTCTCTACTGATAAAAGATGCTGGGATTCAGAAAACAAAAGGGTATTAATGCTTATTTTTCCAAAACTTACAATAAATATAGTCTGTATTTTCAAAAAGAAACATTTACTGTTTTGACAAGTATTAATAACTGCAATCAGTTTAATTCTCAGCTAAATATTAATCCGTTCAACTTAAAGATAACATGAATTCAGTTCTTGGGTAACAATCKGAGGAAGACAATATTAGAAGAGAATTCAAAGAGATATTCAAGCCAATAAATGTTGCAAGGACAAAATGAACATAACAGCAGAATTAGTTACATCTAGTAGGAGAAAAAGATATATGTAGAAATTACATCAAAAACACAGTAAAAACATCTGAGGCCTGAGAAGCACAATTATGAATAAATTAGGTGATTGTAATGTAAAGTGAAATGATATTTGCCCAGCTTTTACTATAAAGAGCTTACTTAACAAACAATACTGTCATTGTGCATAAACCTTTAGGAGTATCCAGCCTAGGGGAAAAAAGAACCCCAACAACAAAAAAACAGAAAACATAAACCCAAACATGTCCCCCATCAAGCCTCTTCCCTCCCCACAAATAGAGAGCAAAAAAGCTTCAGCAAAACACATCAATCTGAAGTTTTTCGCAGAGGCAATATCATTAATTATGACTGAAGAGCTAGAATGCAAGAGCCAAAAGCCATTGTTAGGATTAAAAACCTATTAGAATACAGACTACCTGAAGATATATAGATATATATATATATAGATATATATATATATAGATCTATATATATAGATATATATATATATAGATATATATATAGATATATAGATATATAGATATCTAGATATATAGATATATAGATATATAATGTATGCCAACAACTATTAAAAATTATTAAGAATTTCACCCTATCTATCCACTGGACAGGTAAGTCTTACACTTCAGGACACTCATGTGGTTTGACTCTGCCATTAAAATGTACTGTTCAATACATTTGATTGGGGAAAGAAAAAAGCACTTCAGAGGTGGAAATGAAAAGAAACTTTTGGTTGATATGATAATAAAAACCGTCTGCAGTAATTTCACCAGTGATGAGTAACTTTTAAATTAATTTTAAAGAACTGCGTATTTCACATACTCACATGCATTTCACACACTCTCCTTTTATGGGGAAGTTTGACAAAGAACAGAAAACATCCTGCTCTTCAGAACTGTTTTTGAGACAAGACAGAATGAAATATTCTGGAATATACATTAAGAAAAGCTTGTAATGGCAAAGATGTCAAATGGTCAAAACTTTCTCCTYCAGTAGCTTTCATGACCCCTGAAGTCAATGATAAAATAGGGCTTGACAACAAAATCAGGGTCAGTGCATGAGTCACACTGCAGCAGATTACATCTATAAACTGCATATAATTTCATCACAGTTTTTTCTGACATGGCTATATTTAATCTATTATAACAACTACCTTCTGAGTAACTCAAACAAAAATATGATTGCACATTTAACGAAACACAGAGAACTACCTTTACTTTAACACTGAAATAGTGACGTGAATCATCAAACACTATGAATGTTCAGATAAATTTTGAAAAACAAAATTCTAGAACATTCTTAATATACAAAAGGGGAATTCCAGACACAACACCAGAAAGAAAATGTTTTCTTAAAACATCTTGGCTCAGCTTAGCTCCTGGGACTTGTGCACAATGGGTCAGATGGGACAACAGCACCTCTTGGACTGTGCTTRTTCCCCCAAAGGTCCGATTCTGCCTTCTTTGAAGTCGTTTCAAGAGTGTAGAAAAACCAATTATCCTCAAAGTCCTCTGCAGCCATTTAAACACCTTATAGGCTCAGCATAAAGAGTTAAGGGGAAAGGCAGATGATGGTACACAGATATACAAAATAGCTGGGAAATTATTGACTGCAGTAGGAAACTGGCCCTTCTTCCTTTGGAAGATTTTCAGTAACTTGCAAAGAATCTTTCTAATCTGTAGCAAGGACAATTTTAACAAAAAATGGGAATTACACTGTTACCTGAATGGTATCCCAAATAAATTGGCAAACATATGCAAAGACACATATAAATATTCCACTAACTAGAAAATCCAAGAGTTGTTTAGCCTGCAATTGGAGTCTTTTGGTCTGAAGGAGCAGCTGTTCTGAAACTGAACTTGTGTCCAACCCCTCTCAAGGGGGCACTGTGTGAGTTTGCAGAGCAGCCTCAGTGTGTGTGGACCAGTTTTCTGCTTGAAGGAAGTACCTACCCCGGAGGTATAGCACTGAACATGCTCTAACCCATYACATCTCGACTGTGGTCTGAATGGATGACTAACCTTTTATGTCTGTTCTGGCACAAAAATAGACTGCATTGAGCAGAGACTGGACTGGAGGAGTACCAGAGGTACCTTTTAGTGAGTTATTTAATGGTTCTATAGAAAACAGAAGATTGCATCCAGCATCAGTGCAAGCACTAACTGATTTGATCTGCTTCTGTTGTTTCAAATCATTTTGTAATGTAAGCATAAGTTTCCATGTACAATAATTCCTCCTTAGCAGCTCCATATTCTGATTTAATACAACACAAATTACCTTGTGTACCAAGGGAATTTTTGGGTGGCAGTATAGACCTCTCTGCAGGTTTCCTCTTGTAAGGATGGATTAACCTGCGCAATGCTCATTGCTATCACAGCCAGACTGCTGCTGAACTCAAGTTAGCTTGGGCAAGTCCACACCACACTGATAAATGCAGTTAATACGCATCCTGCTTTATACATGATGAGGTACTAGAAAATCATAATGACATGTACAATCTGAAAAAAAACCCCTACTGTCAATTATTAAATGGTGAAAATTAGCTTTAAGCTTGATATTRTCATCCTCTCACATCCTCTATATCCATTATAAACCAGAATTAATTCAAATTTATCTGCATATTTATTAGCAGCTTGGTATACAATCTCTCATGTTTAGCTATACAACGATTTTAAAATATACGCACTGCTGTCATGTTTCTACTGCCTCAGTATGAAGATGTACTTCTTATTTTGTCCTTTTCAATAATGATCAGARAAGAAATAATGAAAAAAATACAAAGAACTGAAAGAAAATTGAGGCTATTCAAAAGACTGAGGTACAAAAATGAAAACTGAGAGGGTATGTGCAAGTTTAAAAATACTTTAAAAAATGGTTTCAACTTTCCTAGAATCATAATGATTTCAAAAGGATTTTCTGTTTGGCATCTAAATATTTCCACTTAAATTTTATTTCCTAAGGAAATTATATTTCTAGGAGGTTTTCTCTTTCTATCCATTCAACTGAAATAATTCGTCAATTTTTGTTTAAACTCAGTTAACATTGCTAGGAAGCAGAACACAGATTAATTAGCAGCTTTTTAAAGCTTGTTCAATAAAAAAGTAATTTGAAAAAAAAACRGACTTCCACAATGGTACCCCACTCATAAGTTGAAGTGTGAGTGAGGAAGTGGATACTGCAGGAGCTGGGTGAGGAATAGTGAAAGAAGAAGTCTTTAAATCAGAATATGCAAGCAAGAGGACAAAACTCCCTTGGAAGCTACATTTCTTTTGCTCTACATCTCATGGAGTAATTTCTTTACTGAGTTCTTTGCTGTTGCAACAAAAATAAATATTTACATCTAAAAAAACAAAAAAAAAAAAAAAAAAAAAAATCCAGACAGTGAATCCTACCACATCTGATCCATGTCTTTTTTCCAACAGCAGTCGGAAGACATTAGCTGTAATCTTGTTATCCTGAACACCTTGTCCAAGGCCACGGTTGTCATCCTGCATAAGTCGACGATCCATGATCACTTCCAGCTGCCCTGAAAGAGCAACACAAGGACTATACTAGCAATAAGAATATGTAAAGGTTCAATTACACATTAAAAAAGCCTGCTCTACAATATAACTTAGATTAAGAAATCATAATATTTCTCTTGAGTTCAGAAAAGTAAGGGCAAATCAATATTGTTAGGACTGATTATGAAAACAGTAAATACCACTGGACTTTGGCTGTTGATAACTTTCCAAAAAAGGTTCCAAGCCTTTCAGTAGAATATCCAGCAATTTTTAATTTCAGAGTCTAAATAAAAGTTTTATCTGAAAAGCTATTACTGTTAACTACTATTTGCAGCAAGGATACTTGGCAGTCAAATACCCAAGATGAGAATGAGCCCCAAGTAGATGCAGCTGTATGGAGAGACCTTCTGTAGAGGAGCTGTCTTCACCTTGTTCTCCATGCTTTTGTTTCACATTTGAAGGCAGAAGGAAAAATAGGTAGTAAACAGGAGTACATAAATACTCACAATCACTTCTTGTACAGGTAATTTCACTCGTGGGAGTAGAAAAGAACTTTGCACTAGATAAGCACTGAGCATGAAGTTCTGAGTTCATACTGGACTTCAGCATGCCCTTTTGAAAAAGCTCTTTAAGCATGTTGTTAAATCATAAATAGCCTTATGGTCAATGAAGTTCACATTTTTTTCTAGTATCTATCTCCAGAGGAAAACCAGATTGGGACTGTAATTGAGGTTGTTACGGTTTTTGCACACTGAATATTTAAACAAAGTRTACTTGTTTCCTAAATAAAACTGCAAGACTGAAAACTGGTATCCTGAAATTCAGAATTTAAACTTCTAGAAAACGCTGCTTAGTAAGGCAGTCTTTTATTATACCTCAATGTTTGACAAACACCCAATTTACTTAAATACTCATTCTTCCCCTCCCTCAGGTAAAAACAGATTTTGTTTATCCAGGACAGAATTTAGGTGGCAATGAGTGAGAAAAAACCTGCGGTTTTGAACTAAGGTACTGTTGATGTAACTTTCAGATAGTGGGTTATGCCTTGAGATACACCTGTGTCTCAGACACAGGCACTCAGCTAATGACAGTTGTTTGCCTAAACTGTAATGTTTTTGAATTTTCTTCCATGATCCTCCTGAAGGGCCTTCAGAAAAACTGTCATGAAGCATATGATACTCAGCAACCACTGAACCTTCAGCTTAATTTCTGTTCTTTCTTGAGGAATCCAACATGCCTCCAGAAAAAGGAGTAATTTTATTAAATATTACTTAATGATAACAAATCAGATTAATTCATACCTCTTTTTTTTAGTGGGCAGAGAGGGAATATTTGATGTTGGCATATCTTGAGTGATGTAACAGTTTGTCAAAGAGTGGCACAGTCAAGAAATCAATGTCATGTCAGGGATATGTGTGTTGCTCTTTTATTTAACTGGAGTATGTGAAAAGACCCTAATGTCATCTGACAGAGCTGAAACAAGTGCTCACAGGAAGTCAGCTTCTCCTTGATGCTTAACTGTAAAATGTCCAACAGTGCTTGCCTTAACTTTCCTGATTTGATGGCAGAGAGGGGGTGTCTGTGGATTTAGATGGTGTATTATTCAGAACACAGAGACAAAGATTGTTAAAGAACAAGTACAGACATTATTATCCGGTAATGAAGCATCTAATCAGTCTCCTATTTAATGAGGGCACACCAACTTTGGTGGTATCAGGGTCATTCACAAGATCAGGCCAATAGGAATTTGGTTTCCAGCAAGAGGAGACATAAAAAATTGGTTTCGGTCTTGCTTATGATGGATTTGGAATTGAGGTCTGGTATTTTCCACTGTGGTTTTATTACAGCATCACTGTATAGATCAACATTAATGCCTTGCCCTAAAATGAATTATGTTTGCTAATACTGCCACCAAACCAGCAAGGTATTCACCTTTTGTCAGAACAGAGTATTTATGACATTTTTCTTAAACAAGGAAGTAGGTTTTGGTGCAGTTTCTGATGGACTTTTCTGGGTATTMATTCCATTGTCTTTCAAAACCATATAAATTCAAACTGACAATATATATATTACAGCAAGGAATTATACATCTTMACTTGAGAAGGATATACTTTATTTTGCCTGCTAACTCTAGCTTTATTAGAATACTTCCTCTGTTCTGATAGACTGAATAACTGTGCTCTGCTTCCAGTCCTCCAGGTCATTCATCATATACCCTCTTCTGCTCCGAGGAGAAAGACTGTGTCTCTTTTGGAATTCTTAATATGAATTGATTTTTCTTGTCAACATATTCATCAGCTCTGTCAAAGTACTCCATTAAATTTGTGAGGTATGATTTTGCTTCAGAGGTATGTTCACTCTTACCCAGGGTCATATTTATCCTTTATTTCACTAAAACTAATCTTCAAAAAGGCTGCTGTTGTTTTTCCTTGGCAGAGGAGTTAGGCTATCCTGAGTATACCCAAAGACTAGTGCTGTCCAYGCTAAAGCAAACAAACAGAACAAAAAACATGATCAACATCCTTCTTAAGTCCTCTGCTACTAGGGTAGTATACAAAAGAAATAATAATATCCTTTAGCTCAGCTATTTCATCCCTGAGTTCCACCGGAGTTCTTGGGTGGAAAATACTTGGTTCTGAAAATTTTTCTCTTTTTTGCAAACTTTTTCCTCTGCTTCTAGTTTGAGAGAGATCTTTCACTGAAGATGRCAGGAACTCATGGGGCAACAACCTCTTCATCCTCTGTCAGGGACATATTCTAAAACTTGTCAGAGTTGGAGAAGCATATTTCCTCTCTTCAAATGCTTGTAGGTAAGTATGTTAATCTCTGAATGAGTTATTTAGAAAATCATGAAGGAGAGGCCTTTATCATATCTACCATCTTATATTTACCATTTTTCAAGCTTGCAACACCTAGAGACTGAGCTGAATGAAGTGTTAAACGAACGCCAACATCTTGGATATAAGCCATGGTAGTCATAGGATAGATATTTGCTTGAATAGGCAACTTGCTCATTGTCAGTCTGGGCTGGATCTGCAATATGAACACAAACTTCAATAAAATACATTCTTTTTATGCAATTAAATTTCAAAGACATTTTCAGACATTTGTCCCATGTGCTTTGGAAGAACAACCATCACGAAAGCATTCACTCAACATATTATTTAGATTTTTGCAGACTTGTAGCTAAAATTACCACTTTGAAAATGGTAATTCCAATGTACTTTTAGATCAAAGAATATTAAAAAAAAGGTGAAAGTTTCATCAAGGTAACCTACAGAAAGGAAACCTACAAAAAGGAATAATCACAGTTATAAAGTAAGAGAAGAATATTTCTCCTCTAGAGAGCAATCGGTGAATAGATTTAGGTAGCAGAAAAGGGATTGTAGGTTTATAATGAAAACTTATTGAGGTGCCGTTGGTATTCTTGAATGGTACATAGCAAATGAGTAGTAGTATTAAAATTATTTTAATAAATAATTCACTGTCTCCAGCAAAACACATTACTATACAGCACCAGGAGTCAGGGGTCTCCCCATATTCCTACAACCATTTTTAGCAAGACAGGAAGGTAAGGAAAAAACATTTTTCTCTTTTTGTGTATTGCACAGTTCAATTTAAGACAATAATCTCGCTGTTTCCTCAAACGCATCAACAGAAAAAGCRTAATACATCCCTTATTTCCAACACAGCAGCAAGCAGCTGCTCACTAGGTCTGGTTCTTATGTACACTTATCACTGTGTTATCCAAAGGGCTCTAACTAAACAAACAAAGCAGAGGGAAGGAAGGCATGAAGATATACAAGAAACTACATGGTGACTTGCCATAATTTGCTGTATTATAATTCTCATGTTAAAAAGGATATAAAGAAATATTCAGAAAACTCTTTAAAAGCAAACATTTACTTCTTCATCCAGTCAACATCAAATTTTGTAACAGACACATTTTTAAAAAGCATTTCTCCTTTCACATGATTAGTGCAGTTTAACATCAGAGTTTGTTTAATAGAAGCTCTTTACATTTAGACAGTCAAAACCTGACATCCTAAGCTTTTATAATTGAAAGACAGCAATTACCTGATATCCATTAAGGTCACTATAGAATCTCTTTTGACTGTTTATGTCAGATGAAATTCTCATTGCAAGTTCACGGTTATATTCTCCTCTAATGTCCACAATATTGGAAACTTCAAGAGACTGTCCTTCCAAACCTACATGAAAAAGATGCATTTAAAATCTCTAAAAGTGACTGCCACATACATAAGAATGACTGTGCTCCCAGAACAGCAATCTAGTTTTGCACTGCTAGTTTTTGTTTTCTGCTGTATCTAACCAGATATCAGAAGACAGTTCAGTTATGTAACAGATGATAGAGCAGTATTTCTAACTTGGTACAAATTGAACAGACAGTCTGAAAGAGAGCATTGGAGGGCCACAGAAGCAATGAATGGTGAGAACCAAAGTGGGTTCCAGTAAATCAGTAGGAAACAGCACACGACTGAATGCTGACCTGATCATTCACTTTTTCCCTTCACTGCTAAGCAGTTGTCACCATTCCCAGACAAGAATGAAGTTATCAGCTTCTTGATAGAACTGTTYAACAGAGCAGGAAACTGTGAGCAGCTGTTTTTACCAACAGAGCAAAAATCTTCTTAAGGACAGTGAATTAAGAAATTTCAACCGATACAACCACAAGAAGGGCACAAAACTTTGTTGGCAGGGAAAAGATTCCTGTTTATTAAAAGAAGGATTAAGTGTCTGAAAATTCAGACRAATTGTCCAGTGAGATTGTTTTTCTACAGTGCCTTCTACTGAAAATTAAATACCTTTAATAATAACCTGACCTTTTCAAACAGTTCAAGACAGTCTGGAATGGAATCATACCATCATTCAGCATCAGCTGTTCTACTCTTTCTGTAGTCTAATGGGACCAATGATTATGAAAAGAATTGCATCAAGCAGAACAGAGATAAGCATTTATTTCCTCATCTATTTCAAAATCTGAATGCCACCTGCACAAGTACAGCAACTGTTAAAATATTAACATCTACCAATGGCTATTTAACTTCAGTGCTAAATGAAAAACATTGGGTTCAGCTAATTACTTCTGTTTTCCCAACCCTAGTCTGGAAAATGTGGACTTTTATGCTCCATTTTTGATGTTCCCAGTCACAGATTTTCCAAATATTTAAAGTGTTGTTTACAAATATTTAAAAGCATGAGTACATTGAAAAAGAATACAGTATTTTAGCTTAGAATTTCAYCATTTTTATACTATAGAACTTGGGGTTATACTAAAATACTATGAAGTTAATAAGGCATGAGAAGCTTCTGACAAAGAGATAAGCAAAATCTTGCTTATAAAAAAAACAGATGCCAGTGGGCAGCAGAAGTTAAAAATCCCTCAGTGGTCAGTTACTGAAGCGAGCTGTCAACCCAGAGTATTCTCTGTTCAAAATGAACAGACTTCTAAAAGCCAAAACTGGTAAAAGCTTTTTTATGTGTTTTTCCAAAATTGCTGCAGAAGAAGTAGGACTTGGAAGTATTATCCAAAGCTGGATTAGCCATGTAATCAGGCTTGCTGCCCCTTGACAAGCAGGTAAGTTATAACAGGAGATCAGGTCCTTGTTTGAAATCAAAATGCATTTATACACATACACGTATTGATTTTTTCCACATGCTTTGTTACTATTCATATCTAGGAAGATTTCAAAATACCTTATTGTAATTGTAGTAATGCTATACAAATAACTTCCTCTACAAAGCCAAGAAAACAGACCCCAGCAAAAGAAGGATGCAAAGCCACCAAGTTGTAAAGTTTGAAAAAGAAAACTTGAAGAACTCAAAATAAAAACACAGCAGAAACCAAACAGGTAATACAAAAATATATATTTTGCATCATTTTTTCTTGTACACAGTACACTCACAAGGAAAGATAAACTTAAGTGTTAGGAATTGGCAAGCAAGTGATTCTCACTGACAGCTCTTTCTGTGGGCTGTGAAAGGGAAAAATACYTCTAGTAGATATTTAGTAGCAAATTAAAGAAAAGGCAGTACTACAGAAAAATTCATTTTAAAATAACAATCTCAGTCTAAAAAGAAAAGAGGTTTGTCAGGCTTTTCCCCTCCCCTTCACTACAATAAGTATCTTCCTCTATACGTTCCCTCCTTGCTGAGAACTTTAATTTACTGAAATTTACATGGAAACTGAACTTCATTTCCACATTCTTGGCAACCTGGTACATCTTCACCTCAAGGCACCTTTTTCATCTAAGCTGATTTTACGTATTTGTCACATAAAACCAAGAAACCAATCTTGAATACATGTTGTGTTTCCTTAAGATYAACAACAAATTACTATGCAAACTCCTGGTTTGTGTTCCTACAGAGTGTGAGCTAATGTTTGATCCAGAATTACCATATCAGCTGGCAAGTGAACTCTGATCAGCTTTTGGCATAGGAATAAACTCCAGCAACTTCAAACTTAAATGTACACTTGTCACAAAAACGAGGCATCTGAATCAATTTAAGTTCTACAGTGAAATACACTAGAATTAAAACAAAATAAAAGAAAACCTAAAAAATCAAACARATGATGTCAATAATAATTTTGAAACTTAAAAAAAAGGAGGAAAAAAGCAAGGAAGACTTGCAAAGTACTTAGAACTTTTTTTATTTGAAGTTGTTTAGGAAAAATCATTAAATATGATAAATAAGATTTTAAAAACATTAAGACAATTTTGACTCCTACAGTAAAATTAATACAAAACAATTGCAAGTTCCTTCAAGTGTTGAAAAATTGAAACAAAAATGCTTCTTTATTTCAGAATAATAGCAGTAAATAAAAGTAATAAATAACTGAAAATGTATGTTTCTTAATTACAGAAAGATACACTTAAGCATGTTAACTCAGGTTTCCATAGGAAAATAATTGCATACAATTGCACCATGATTTTCGCACTCTTTTACATTTTTCAGTGGCTTATTTCATCAAGTTTGGAAGCATACAGGATTTCCAAAATTACTGTTTACTTAGAATTTCCCTGGAAATCAGTAGCTGAACAGTAGAGAAACAAAAACCTGAAAGCCTTATGGAAGAAAACACAAGGCAAGCTGGAGTGTTGTTATGTTCTAAGAGCCAAAAAGTTGGTGCTTGGTGTTGGTGCCTCTCAAAAGGCACAGCCAATTCTGTCACAAGCCCTTCCAAGCAGATGAGGGACATTCAAAGGTCATAAATAACTAAAGCCTACAGTTATGAAGTAAACTAAATTTCTTCCTGATATATACCCTTATATTCTTGGCCATTGTAGGGAAAGTATTATTGCAATTCCATCAGAAATGTGACATTATGAAATAAACTATGATTTTACATTATCTATGGGATTTTTTTTAATGTTTTTCAAACATACGGCTAATTACAGCATTCAGATGACTCAGGAGAGGTATCTCCAACAAATCTGTTTAGCTTAGGTATACCAGCTTAATGACTAGCGTGATACTCAGAGAGGATTCATGATGCTCTGGAGTAAATACAACTTCAGTCTCATTAATCCTGCACTATTGCAGAAGTGCATTTAAACATTAAAAATGCAGGTAGGATCCACGACTGTAGTGATGTACAATAACTGATAAGAGAGACAGAATTTCACAACTCTTACCCTGGACTTTATACAGCCGCACAGTATGTGTCATGTGGTGAAAAAAACAAACAACTTCTGAGAAAATCTTTCCATGAGCAACTCTTATGGTAGGTGGATCTGTAAAAATATAAGGCTACAAAAAGAAAACAAACTCAGTGTAAGTATTTTGGAACTTTTGCATRAATGTAGTGTCAATAAATTGAAGTGCTTAATAAACATTAAAGTTTTATTTATTTTTTTGAACCATTCTAGATCTAAAAAACTGGAGATTAAAAACTTATTCCTAATCTGAAATTCAGCAACTTCTCTTCAGAGTCTTGTTTCAGCTAAAATTAGGTTAAGTCTCATTACATATCTCACAAGTATTTTRTGAAGATTAATGGATACTAGGTCTACAGACAAACATATGCATGTATTGATATTGTATCTGGATTGAGCTTTTTTGCTAGCAAAATTATAACTACTAACCAGTGATTAAACACTTTAGTTTCATAATTTGTGGCAGGTGGTTAAACTACCTCTCTCAGTGGTACACACGGCACAAGAAAAGCCTCCTCTACTCTGCCTTATGGATCAATTTGCATATCCTTTTTCAAGTAGAAGAGAAAGCTTTTTATTCATCAGAAGCAGCAGTGGAGCTCCCTGGAAGAATTGGCAGTGGAGCTCCCCGGAAGATGGGTGGGGCTGGGAATCATTACAAAATGTCAAGAAGGACAGTGGCTTACTACTACTGGATCCCACAGAACAGGACAAATTTTGTATACCCCCAGTCACACCAAAGTGATGAAGAAAATTTTTTTTCCATGTAGTCACAGTATTTAGCACCTTGGCTAGGCAAGCAATGACTTTTTTTTTCAAAAAAAAAAAACCCCAGTTGATCCCAAACTAAACTGTGTGCACCAGATGGAAATAAATGGATGGTTGCAAAGGTGAAAAGGATTTAAATATTGAGATACTGCAAGCCAAAAATGAAAATACAGCACAAACAACTCCTTCAGTAGGGGAACAGCTGTAAATAAGGACTTCACTCCAAAAACCCCATGCCAGATGCTTGAACAACACATTGTTCAGAGGAATCTAGGCAGACAGCTCTCAGAGGGTTGCTGTCTTCCTTCTGGAAGGAAGAAGCGTGGTCTTTCTTAACGCAAAGAAAACAAAGCTCAAATCTTGAGGAAGAGCAGAGATCAAGCTGAATATAGAGAAAACATACTAGAGAAGAACAAATACAGGTAAATATAATCCTTTGAGCATGTAACTACATCTATACTTACAGGGAAGACTTCAAGAAGTATTGTATAAAAGTAAAAGCTAGAGAGCTTGAAAGAGACTTTCAAGTGCTAAAAGCCTCTTCTATTCACATCCTTATTCTTAGAGCTCCAGGCAGAATACTGTGTAATAAAAACTCTACCAGAGCTCCAAGGTGCAACTCTGTACTTACCAACCACAGGAATACTTTGTACAAGAATTTGGAAGAGAAATCACAGTTACTTACTGATTTAAGGAGACAGGTTTTTTTTTCCTACAGAAATTTTATCCAGTTAATCAATACAAAAGCCCAAAAGAATGTTTTGGACTTCTTGATAGTCATGAAAAAATGAGAGAATACTTSCATAGGGTCTCATCAATACGACAGACAAACGTTATCTATTACGCAAAATCCATTTGCTAGGTGAGAAGCACAGCAATAACATGGTATTCAGAGGGCACATAAGGCAGATGAACCAGTATGATGAGAAAAAAACAAATCTGAAGACCAGATCTCAGGTCAGGGCCTTTTATTTCCATGAAATACTGACGAGATTTGTAACTGTAGACTGAATTTTCCCCTGTTGGCAGAAGAGACTGGTATTTGCTTTTCTATCACACATAGGCAGAGAAGACAAACTCATTTAATCTGTGACTACATGGCTTCTAGAAATTAAAACTCCCTCAGAGGAACTGGATTTCTGACCAAGAGGTGGAATAACCAAACCCTTCAAAATACTCCCTGCAGGGTACAGCAACAAGAAAATACTCGAGTTAGCAAAGACAGACTGAAACAGCACCTAAAGGAACTCTMCGAAAATGAATTGAGAAACCTGAGGTCATCAGGACAAACCAATGACTTGTGACCTAGGAGAATGTTACACAGAAGGCAGACTGCCAACTATATTCTCTTATCAAAGTAGCACTAACCTAAAGAGTATTTTTGTAAGAGTATTTTTTGCAGGACTTTCAGTGGAACTAGTCAGCAAAATGGACATAAGCTGGATGAGTGACACAGGAATGCAATATGTTGTGCATTTATTAGAAAGAAAAGTACTCGAAGTAATTAAAAAAAAATTAAAAACACTTGAGGGAACTCTTTTCCATTGAGTTATTTAGCACAAAACATTAGGGTGCTATTGAAAATTTAAATCAAAATACACAGAAAGCTGAAATGAGACAGGCATACCGGCTCTCAGACTCTAGGATATTGCCCCACATATTAAGTTCACATACCTGAGCCTCCTGGCTGCACAAGTAGCCAAAACTGATGCTTGATGATTTTTGATTTTCCTTTTTATGCTTGCTGTACCCTCTATGCATCCCCCTGTACCCCTTAGCCCACATGCTTGTAATTCCTGGAGTCTGATATTCCAGCTTAATTTTGGTCTCTCTGCCCAGCAGAATTCCTAACACCCTGAGGAAGGAGTCAGYGTGCCCTGTGCTATCTTAAACCCGAGACTCCAGCCTTGRGTGAAGCCTTCTCTYTGGAACRTCTTGTGTAAACTGGGCTCTGGCCTTATTCTGGGGGGGCATTCATTAGAATAGGGGGACATTACTGCATTTGTTAARTTTCWTATTGGGGAATCCTAGATAGATATGCCAGTTCCTGAAATCTATAAAACTTGTATCCGTGCTATACACGGGGGTGCATTCTGCCATCAAGTTGTGCACCTGGGATCCCAAATACCAAGTAAAACCCTTTTTATCCCCTTAACCATGTCTGTGTCATTATAAAAAACTGGCCATTTGAGGCAACAAAACATTCCTCTTCTGAAYGTCAAGCACCACACAGACTATTCTGAATTATACAGAAAGATGGGCTGATGGGAAAGGAATTATCATTTTGCAGATACTGCCTGAAACTAATCAATTTTTAAAAAGTAATAATTTGCAATTTTGCTTGCCCATGCATTGAGTTCACAAGCCTCCAATTCAGACACAGTTCTAGGAAAGGCACAAATGAGGAAGGTGGCTTACAAAGACAGATGCTCTCATGTAGTTTTGGGGATCAGACAAGTTCTCAAAGATGACTGATGTTCCCTCATTGTGGAGCAAGCAGGAAAAATGAAGTAAAAATATGGTAGTAATAGAACAGGGAAGCCTTTTAATTCATATCTAGTGCTTACAAAAGCACTAATCTTAGAAAGTGATTTGTTGACAATTACCAGGAGAAATACCAGGATTTCAGAACCTATAAAAAGATTAATTGCCCAGCCTTGTCTCACCAGAATAATTTCAATCAACCAGGCTTTTAAGCAGGAAAGTATCTTTATGCATTGAATGTGCAATTATTCTAGTATCATTGTAAAGATCCCTGGTGAGATGCACAGGCCTGTGAAATTATCCTGGTCCAGGATCTGAAATACAAAGGTACTTTTGATGTGGAAATCTAAAGCAATGTGGAAAGAACAAACAATGATAGAGCTATTTGCAAAACTGATTTGACAAGTCCTGGTCTCAATTCAGTGTTAAGTCTGTTTTGAAAACAAGCATGGACTAAAGGACCTTCCAGCATGAAGAAATGTGTGTTTACTCACACCTTTAATTAGSAATAAAAATATTTTGGTCTTCTATCCAGTGATTAATCTCAAGACTYAACTTTCTAAAAAGGTAAAATAAAAAGCTGCTGTAATATCTGTTCTCCTTAGCTCCACTGGAATGAATTACAATTGTACAAGATCCAGCAGTGTGCTGAGGCAGCTTTTGTTGAGCCTGGAAATCAGTATTTCTCAGAAACAGGACAACAGAACTATGGGTCAAAAAGTTCAGAAATAATTTTTCTATACTCACTTCAAGAGAAATAGAACACCCTCCTTTGGAAAGAAAGTGGGCAGGAGGGCTGGGGAAAAGCTAGCTGGAAATTTTAAAGGAGAATACTTGGAGCAAAATAATATCTCGTGGATCCCTAGGATAAATTAAAATACTTAACATCAAAACAGATGCTAAAGGGTGGAAGYAACTAGAAATACACCTTCACCAAAAGATTTACTGGCTTGTATAGAAGATCACATGGCATGTTGCAGCCTGGAGGCACAAAGCATGGACAATAAGCCTCTCCCCTTGTAGTCAAGTAAGGCACTCCAAACCTCTTAATGTGGCCAGGAAACTTCTGGTAGAGCAGCACACTGTTGCTCAGGATGCCAAAAAAACTATGCTCCAGGGAAAGTTTTCCACCACAGATGAAATGCTCTTGATTGGTCTGAGATTTTAAAAAAACCTCAAGATAAAGGCTCCAGGAAAACTTGTTTCTCAATAGCAGATTGCCCCRTATTTGGCGAAGTTTGAGATTAGACTGGCTAATATAATGTATTTTAGCTCTAGCATTAGAGATCTTGCAGATCTTATATATTCTGTTAGTACATAAGTACTTATGGGAACTAGTATATACACAGAATAACAGACCCAGCTGCCTGAGGGAGAATCAAAATTTCCWAGTCTGGGTGTACCGAAAACCATCACTTTGATACCGAAAAAAAAWATTCGTAAAGCAAAAAAAATCAATTACTTACACTGATCCCACGAACACTTAGTGCGTGGAGCTTTGGAAARAATTGCTTTGCTCTATTCCCTGTTGGTAGCAAGCAGAGCTAGAAAGAAGTCACCACGTATTGACTTGTCTTGAACATACAGAAGAAAATAAAGACATTTAACTGTTTCAGAGTTTGAACCCTGCGGGGCTTTTCCCCACAGATCTACAAAAACACGAGTTGGTCATCCTTCACAAAATCACAGGAGATAAAAACATGTTTTCCCTTCTTGAACACTTTTGCTTATGTTTGTTGTGATGCTTAAGGAAATCCTTTCCTTCCAACTGTGGTAACACTATCAATCAACATCGCCATTTAAAAAAAATTAAGATGCTTTTTGCCTGCTGCCTTGCTTTCTGTTTTGATTTTGAAGAAAATACAAAGGCATGCTAGGACTGTCCTATCTCACCAGAGCTGCAGTAACTGCACTAGCCTGTGCTCTGTGCCTCAGTTTTGGACTTTGCAGTGTTGTAGTTTAGTACTATGCTTAGATAGATGATTAAACCAAAGAAAATTAATTTCTGAGTATTGCAGAACTGAAAATAAAGTAACCAAAAGACTTATCAGATGACTAATTAACCAGTTAACAAGGGCAAAAAACCATACAACTGTACTCATAAAAAAGGGAAATAATCCAACACAAAAAGCAATTATTCTTTGCAAGTTTTCCTGTAATACATAAGCGAAGGGAGGTAAGGAAAAAAACTAACAAACATCTAGCSAAAAATCAAGGAAACTGCCTGCCATCTATCCTATTGCAAATTAACGCAAGGACTTAGAAAGTTAGTCAATCCATATCACACTAAGAACCCTGAACAGATGGCATTTCTTTTAAGACAGAAAACGTTAGGACAAATTGATTTAGAAACTACTATAGAATTACATTGTTATTCCCAGTGGGACAACTTAATTAGTGCAATTAAAATGCAAGCCAATAAACCTGATGGTGAAGCATAATATTAATGAAGTAGATTTTCAGAAGTATCACAATTTCATTTTTACTGTAAAAAATGTTACAAAAGCTGAACAGCAGCCTTCTAATATTAGCTTCAAATTGAGATATGTGACAGACTTTTTCTGTTTAAACATAACATTTTGCTACCTCAGTTTGTCCAATTATTTAAATAATAATTCAAATTTGTAGTTAGAATTATACAACTGCTAGATTCAGTGATTATTTTTATAGGCAAAGATGAATTTGAATATAAAATGAAATTAGTTGAAGTGTGACCATGCAGGTAATGAAAGGTAAAAATTAAAAACCATGATATCGTTCAGCATTCATAGATAAAAACACAATCAAATGAAGAAATATGAAATTACATATAAAATTAAGAATAAGGGAACCCTGTTCAATGAATCAAACAATTCATTGTAAACAATTATGGGACTTAATACACTAAATGGTTTTAAACTGTCAACCCACAGACCTCATAGGATGTGCTTCTAGGAGAGACTGCTGAAAGAAGAGAAAACTGTTCTGTCCCTTCCAGACTGATTTACATACATAAAAGGGAAAAAAAAAAAAAAAAAAAAAAAAAAAAAAAAGAAGAAAAAAGAAAGCTAACGACCCCTCCCTCTCCCAAAAAAAGATGAATGATTACTCTTGCGTATTTCCTGAGATGGTAAGCATAGAACTCCTAGTTTGCCTTATGCATGCAGCTTAGGTTTTCACAAAAGAAACTCAGAAGAAACATGCTGCCAACTAACTAGCTTCATAAATGTTCATTTCTTTATCTTCTGCCTTCTGAAATATCTAGTTCCAAAAGGAGTATAGTAGAATCCATATGGTAATTAAGTCACTGTAAGAATGCTGCCATTTTCCCAATTTCCAATTTGAAAACTAATAGGAGGATGCTGTTGCTCTCCAATAATTATGCAGCTAAAAATACAGATAACCCTAGAGAGCTAAATCAGAACGGTTCCTTGCTGCACTGTCTTCATATTCACCAAATTGGGACTCAGTATCCTAATTACTATATTAAACTAAATATGCTCATATCAGCTCAAAAAGTAGCTCTGAACCAGAAACAATTCATTCACAATTAAAAAAAAAATCAGAAAAGTAAAGAGGTAAAAATGAATCAGTATGTCCTATACATTTTCACCATAGAAAGTGAAAATTAATTGATTTTGTTGATAATAATTGCTCACATCTCACCAGATCCTGAAATTACAGAATTTCTTGTACGGATGGAATCTTAAGTTTTTTTATGAATCATAAATTTTCTCCACATTTTCACATTTTCAAATTTCTATTGTGTTTTTACTCCAGCGTAGGGTTATGAAGCATGAACTTCAGCCAATCATTTCAATAATTGGCATTTTGTCTAGCCACACAATTTTTATTTCAGTTTTGCAGACACTTCCAGTGTCTATTTGCTGAACACTTCAAGGTACTTCAAGATTAGAATCTCTTTGCAAACAGAAGGTTTACCTTGGCATCACCATCTGGTATGAAGAGATATGCTCCACTTTTATCTCGGTTACTGGTAGTTCCATACCAAGCAAAATCCACCTTCACTTGATGATTTTTACCATCTTCTTTGGTATTTATTTTCTGAAAGGACAGACATTCATGTTAAGTTTCCATAAAGAAGCATAGAAGTTCTCAAAAGAGTAAAATATAGCRTTTTGAAAAAAAATGTAACATACCTCCAGTAATCCAGACATTCCAGAAAACCACAGCTTCATGTAGGCATTTTCTAAGATTATATTATCCACAGAATTCTGCATCCCTTTTATCTTGAAAACTGTGTCTGGATTATCCTGTCTGCTATGCCTTACATATATGTTATAGTCAGCTAAAACTGCTTCTGAATTCTCATCCTCCAGGACCTGGTAAACTGCAATCCCAAGAGGTGGTACATGTGCCACAAAAGAGATCTGTGGGGAACAAATAAGAAACCATTACTACAAATGGCAAAATTTATGTTCAAAGTAACTCCTTTTGCCCAAATAATTTTAGGATGGGTGAGTTTTCCCACAATCTACAAAGAAATATGAAGAATTAACAAACAAAAATATCTGCATCAATAATTTGCTTAGCATCAAGATTACCGTTRCATTAATGCAATTATGATTTTTAATCTTGTTAAGAATTTTAGCTGTGATATGCAGTTCTGAGTATATTTGCTCTTCATTGAAGATGCATATGTACTGCATCAAGTGCACAGATTCTACTTAACACTTAAGTTTGAAATTTAAATTTAAAATACATTAATTTAAATAAATATAAGGTATCTAATTTTTAGTCTCTGGGTTTTTCTAGGAGTAAAAATCTGTGCATAATCTGAGCAGAAGAGTAGTATACTAGGTTCATCTCCAAAGCAATTTGTTTAGAATTTGAGATCCAGATAAGTAATTTTATTTCTTCTTCTTCAGACAATAACAGTACCAATTATTGTGCTGGTTTTGGCTGGGATAGATCTTCATAGTAGCACATATGGTGCTTGGTTTCAGTATGAACCACAGTGATAACCTAAGGATGTCTCAGCTGTGGCTCAGCAGGGCTTATGCAGCATCAGGGCCCCTCCTGCTGCTCCATCAAGGATGGGACTGGGGGTGCACAAGGATTTGGGAAGGGACACAGTTGGAAGGGGACAGCTGAACCCCAACAGACCAAAGGGATATTCCAGACCATATGGCATCATGCTCAGCAATAAAAACCTGGGAAGAAAAAGGAAGAGGGGATGTTTGGGAGTGATGGGGTTTGTCTTCTCAAGTCACTGTTCCATGTGATGGAGCCCTACTCTGCTGGGGATGGCTAAGCACCTGCCCAACCTTGGGATACTGTGAATGAATCCCTTGTTTTGCTTTATTTGAGTGCAGTTTCAGCTTTATCCATGAGCTTTCTGACCATTACCCATCCAACTATATTCTCAACCCCACTGAGTCAGTGAGCAAGCAGTATGGGGCTGAGCTACTTAACAGGTTTTACCCACAATAATAACCCCTTTGGAACACAACCAGAGAGACAGCTATTGAATTATATTCACAGAAATACTATCCTGAACAAAGTTCCTTTGTCAAAAAGAATCAAATTGTAAACCTGAAARCAATATTATTGCTATTACAGCAATACACTATTACTGTATCATTAAAAATTAAACAAAATAAATTTCTGATGTGTGATGTGATCTTCTATAATGATGTACAACTCAAAAATTCTTGGAAGTTTTGCTTCAAACAAAAAACAAGAGGTGAGCTCAAAGATTTCTATCCAGCTCGAATATTTGGAAGGGAAGAGAACATCTGAATGCAAATGCTAAAGTCATTCCACTTACAAGACTTTCCAGCTGGAGTGCCTGAGAACATACCGACTGTATGACTACGTGTACAGACTATCCCTTGAAGGAAGAAGCAGCTTGAGAAAGTTAGGGCAAAAGACATGCATCCAGTATTTTCATTTCATGCATATGAAATGGATCCTTTAAATGTAATAAATGATATCACAAATGTTTAACAGTTTAAGAAACATTACTGCTAAACATGTCGATTTATTTCATTTGTTCAGGCTCTTTTTTACTTGGAATGACTGAATTAATAGCCTTGTCTGCAGAAGAAAAAACCGCCAACATATGAAATATGCTTTCAATTTTCTTCAACTATGAAGTTACAGTATCTGTCAGAAACATATTYTAATGCTTTTTATTTAAAGTAGAGTAAGTACCTGATAAGCTTCACGTGATACTGTAGTTGCTCCATCCCAAACAGCACTAATCTGGACAGTAAGAGGTTTTCCCAAAGGAGACAACACTTTAACTTTGGGTGAATTCACAGTGACTGAAACCACTGAAAATCGCTCTTGTTCCGTAGGATTGTGTACCAAAAGGTATCTGAAAAAAAAAAAMCMMCATATTTACTAAATTATCTTTGGGGAACTAAGATTCTTCCTTCAGGTTTAATGTCACTGYACATAAATTTTACATGCAGAGGATTAAAACAGCATTAGAACAACAGGTACATACCACAACAAATAAATATACAAAACATAACCAGGAAACAATGGATATTTAACATCAATTCTTTGCAGATCTTCTTTTCTTAATGCTATTCTTTCTCCAAGAAATATTGAAAATTCCTAACAAAAAATACATCTATTTCCCATCTTAACTGATGAAGAATTGTTATTAATGGTTGCAAGCACAATCAAGATACTTAAGGGCATTTTAAATATATTTTTCAGACTGAACTGTGAAATTCTCACCCACAATATTTTTTCTTAACAGTTTAGAAAAAATGAATGAACAAAACTGGTTGTACATAGATATATGTATAGATGCATATATATGTGATACATATTCACTAAAGGAACTAGTTTCTCCTATAAAGGAAAGTACAAAATTGTTTAAATTATAATTTAACAACATTCATTATAGTAACTTTGCATATCTTCTTAATACATACAGAATAACTATTTTTATGTAGTCTTATGCCTTTTGTTCCATTTGAACACAGATTATGTTATTAACCAAAAGAATCAGTCCTGAGATAAACAGACTGACTTTATTAGCCAACATAATTTTTATTATGACAGGTTCATGTATAAAAAGGTATAGAACAAAATTATACTAGAAAATTTGTGGCTCATGCACCTGTAGGACTGCCACTGTACTTCACKTCTTTTCACTGACAAGCTCAAAGAAAGCAGCTGTTTACAGCTGTTCCCTGAAGTTTCCCTCCTTTAAAAGAAGTAGTTTACAATAAAAATCACCCCTGCCAAAATTCCTGATATCTTCTTRACTATATACAGCAGAACCAATATTCTATCTCCAACCTCCTTAACCCTCCCCWCTGTAAAGTGGTTAGCTTCTTCATGGGATCTGATCTTTCACCAGTTTCCATGAGATCTATTTCTTACTTATGAAATCACTCCTCCAGCATTTCTTCCAAGCAGATTCTCTTTGTTCTCTGCTCTCTGTTTTCAATGTAGATTCCTCATGGTTGTCTATGGTTTTCTTTCTTTTGCTTTCACATCTTAAGCCTCAAATTCAATTGACAGATCAAACCACTTCACTTGGAATTGTCTCCATCCAGCCAACCTACAAATCTCATTCAGAATCCTAACCAGGCCACCATTTCCCCTTTATCTTTTCACTGGCTTCCTTTTCTTTGCCTGCATCAAACTTAGCTGGTAAATTTCTCAGCACTCCACTGCAAACCCCTATTACCTCACAATCAGAAGGAAATGAAAGGTCAACTCAAACTTCTTATTAATTGAATAAACAAAATCAAAGGCTTTATTAGCTCTTTTTTTGGATCAAGAATTTTTGAATTATTTACCATATATAAAATGAGCTTCTCGTAAAAATTATTTTCTTTTCAACTCAAATTCCTGTGCTGAAGTATTGTTTAAACCATGACTTCTATGCATACCAATGATTTTCAATGTGTGTGTGTGAGAGATTACAACCAGAAATGCTTTGGGATCCTGTCTTTTCCCTTTTTCTTGCTGAAGACTCCTAGATTACTAGATAATTACTAGACAATGTAACAGTTAACCATATTCTGGGTCAGCTTTTGGAGTCTTTAAGAACTTGAGCAACATTTTCTGAGAACCTCCTCTGGACATGGGTAAGTCATTTTATACTTCTGCTTATCTGGAAGTCTTCYTTTGGGTAAGACTTTAAATTGAATATTTTGGTTAATGTTAATAGGGGGTTTTGTTGGCTTGTTGCCCTTTTTTAAAAAAATAACATTTGTGGAATCAAAACTTAACTAAACCAACCCTGATTTCAGTCTTGACCATTACAAAATAGGAAGAGAAAAGAAATAAAATTATTAAAATACCTTTTTAARAGCTCCTCATGTACCGGGAAAAAAGAGTGTAAGAACTGTCAGAAACAATATGGATTAAGAGGTGATTGAACACCAAAGCTCAAAATAAATCCCTATTCTCATCCATCAATACAGATTACATCTTTTTCCTTTATTCTTTTTATACATTGAATTTCTCAATTCTTATAACTCTAAGTAAAAGGAGAGCTTATGAATATAATATTTTTTCAGTAATGCTACACATCCTCATTATATTTAAATTATCTSCCAAGCAAAGACCACATTAGTGCAAAAAATATTTCCAGGAACTTGTTCACCTTCCCAGAGATCTAAATATATTTACAACTTTAATTAGTCTCATGACAAATTTACCCATAACAAAAGACCTTAGGAACTGTAGTAGTATTATTATTTCATCAGGCTACTTCTAAAAATTTGTATTTGGATTAAATAAACCCCTTGTACCAAAATATATACAGTTTATAACTTCTTGAATAAATGTATTTTAAGTTCATTATGTGTCATGTAGAGAATCAGATAGTCAGTAGAAGCTAGCAAGGACAGGGCAGATTTTCAGCACCTGAAATACAGGAATTTTGACTAGAAGCTAATATTTTGGTTTGACATACTATTTCAGGAGGACAGTAGTATTTATACAAAGTAGGATGTCATTCTTGTGCATATACAAAAGCACTAATTTAATTAAATCATATTACTTGTGAAGTACCATTCAACTCCCACCATTAAATAACATCGTACTATAAAAATGGCAGATTATATTTGAAAAAAAGAAGAGCTACACCTCACTTAAGCTGCACGTTCGTTGCAAAGAATGTTATGCACAACAGTACAACTGCATACGCACCGTGGTTGCACACAGAAGAGCATCTTGATAATATGGAAAGTTTTTCTATCCCTTATTTTCGGGCAAAAACATAAATACTAACATCTTTTCAGAAGCAGCAAGCAAATATTTTCTTTTCATTATTTGGATCACTGGTACTTGGCAATAACACCAACAAAACCATTAAAGTTTGCACCTTTCATCCAGTTAAAGAGTGGAGGGTTTTAAGGCTTACTGGTAAAGTTCATATGAAAAGTTTTATCTGAAATATTTTGTTTTAGAACCGCAATTACGGTCAAGTGCCAGCTACAAATTCATTTACTCAAGAAATCTAAGAATTCTGAAACTATGCTGTATTGATACAAAAACCATGACTAAACTACTCACATGGAGATCATGTATTTCACCTCAGCACTGGGAGTAGGAGTTAATTGCTCTCAGCCCATCAAAAAATTACTGCAGATTTGAGGTCTTAATCCTAAATTGRATGCATCATTAATATTTGCCATTTAAGAAAAGCAAATCCTGAAACCTGCTTTTCAGACACTTGGAAAGATAGACCCTGAATTCTTTTACCGCATACATTTTTGGGTCTATGAAACTCCAAACAGGTATATTTTAGTTATACAAGCATGACCACTTTCCCCAGATAATCCACCATTCATAACATTAATAAAGCATATTAATTGCATATATTCAAGCATCAAAGAATATTTTGACTAGTCTTTTAAGTAGTACAGATTTAACTTGTTGTGGAACATTTTCAGCAAGAGCTGGAAACATCACCCCCACCATTCTTACTTCAAACACTTTCATTATTCAATTAGGAAAACATGTAAATTGCAGTAGCTTTATTTAAAGACAAAAATACGAATAAAGATGATTTAGATCTCTAACAACTTTAATCTTYGCCTCCTAAAAGAATATTATTTCTGAAATACAAGAGTGTCAGTATTTCAAAGGATCATTGTTGTCTATTTCTCTGACATGCATAAACATACGAGCAAATATGTTGAAACACACATTTRCTAGTAACACCTATGACATAATTATCATAATTACTCTTTCTTTTAAAGTTCATTCATCTGTCCTTCACAAGGGATGCATTCAACTAAAATGAGAAACCACAACTCACTACTAGTAAGTCTCACAGCATCATCAATGGCGGAGGCTTACTCAAAGAACACCTTTTCATGACACTTGGATTCACAGTTCAAGACAACAATTTTCATTACCAATGAAAATTTTCATTACCATTCAATTATCCAAATACACTTGGAGAACCAATTCTTTGAGGAATTCGAGTTACTCAGACTGATCAATTTTATTAAAATATCTCCACCAAACCTTCTGAGACAGATTGGAGCATTTCCCAATATAAATAGCTTCATCAGAGTCAGTTCTCTGGACCCATATGCACAATTTTCATGCAAACTTACACAAACAAGACCTTCCAAGCTGATTCGTTTATTTCACTCTTCTATAGAGACTAAGCTAAAAACYGCCTAAGTGATGAAAAAAAATGCAACAAATACACTAAAAACTGAGAAATTATACAAGCCACAAAGCCAAATTATATACTATATCACTGGTGTTCCATTGAAGAAYGAAAGAGAACAAACATAAGCACAAAAGTTCTGAAAACATTAAGGAAGGAGTAATGAAAACAGACTAAAATGCTTTAAGTTATAGAGAAAAGTAATTCAACCTGTGTTAAAAGTCACCAGAAAGACATGTAGGTTAGTAACTACAATTCAGCTAGAAATGTATTCTTAGTTCTTGACTGTTGATGGACTTCGATAGGCTAAGACTTAAAAATTGCAAACAAAACWGAAAAAAAATCTAAACAATCAAAACTAAAAAATAAAACACCTCACTGGAGTGATAAAGATGGAATCAAAACTGTTTCACAACTTAAAATTGCTAGAAAAAATTACTTTGAAAGATGTGAGAAGAGTCAGTAGGTAGTAATGTTTAATTACCAAACACTAATGTATAAGAGGTAGAAACAAACTAGGGCTTAATATTTAAACTCCATAAAGTACTGTTTGCCATGGTAGCTTCCAAAAATACTATAAAAAATCTGAACTTTGTGACTTCTGATGTATGCTGGAAGTTTAACAAAAGAAATCAAAATGTCCAAGAAACCCAGAATCCAAAGAAACTGCCATGAGTTGACATTACACAGATCTATGTCTTTGGGGATGGACGAGC